CAGTTCTTATGTGATGCCACTGAATGTGATCTGAATTATATTTTCTGACGTTTGTAGAAAATTCAAAGTTTTTTAATCAAAGACTATATTATCATAATAACAATTATTTATAGTACATACGTTTACCTACGCTTTTATTATATTATATACATATACTTAAAGAGAACATCGTCCTGCAATGTATTTATCAAAACCGTTTTCAAAATGAATGATTAAATAGGTAGACCTATTACATTTTACACTGGAAAATGTGTAATTGGAAATTCTAATTTTATCAAATCAACTTAACCTTTAAATCACAGTAGGTGTTGTTCTATGCAACCGTTGCTCTATCAACCGCATTTTGAGTATATTATAGACTATATAACCTAACCTAACCTAACCTATATAGGTATACTTACAATCGTTTATACAAAAAGTCATTAAAATTTACAAATTACAATTACAATCATGTTTCACATCAACACATTAATTAATTTATTTGTTAATACATATTTAATATTTATTGGTACGCGTTTGCTTTAAAAACGCTAAAAGATCAGTTTTTTTGGATTTGTAATCAGAATATAATATATTTTTCATATTTTTTCATATTTTTTTATATAATTTTGTTTTTTTAATATTTCTATTCTAAGCGCAGGTATTTTCTTTCTTTATTTTAAATTAGTATTGATAAATTATATAGGTACGTATTTTTATAGACATATTACATTTTATACTGGAAAATGTGTAATTGGAAATCCTAATTTTATCAAATCAACTTAACTTTTAAATCACAGTAGGTACTGTTATGTGTAACCGTTGCTCTATCAACCGCATCGTGAGTATATTTACCTACTATATATAGGTACACTATTTTGTCTCTATTGCTTGGGCTACAACTCATTTGCTCACATTTCCTTTTTTACAACTCATGTGGGCACAATTTAAGAACAATATAAACGTTTTTTCAAAGAAATTTATCCACGTACATGGTGTATATAATCTGCGTACCTCCAAATATTCGAATTGGTCATTAACGCGATGATAGAAAATTATTATACTCAAACAACATTTTCCTTCGCCTTCTAAGGCTTAGGATCTTCTGTTTCATCATATTCCGATGTTATACGACTTGTAATTTATAATATTTTATATGACTAGCGGATGTACAAATATTGTTTGAACTATTTATTTTAGAACAGCTTCCTTAGAAAACCATTATACACAATTTTGTCAAATTACAAATTACACAAATTACAATTAGGTACTTACAATCATTTATACAAATTGCGCAAATTTTAATTACAATCATTTTTCATATAAAAACATAAATTAATTTATTTGTTAATACATATTTAATATTTATTGATAGGTGCGCGATTGCATTAAAAATGCTAAAAGATCAATTTTTTGGAATTGTAATCATAATATATTATTTTGATATTTTTATTCATATAATTTTGTTTTTTTTTTAATATTACTATTCTATGCGCAGGTATACCTATTTTCTTTCTTTCTTTGTTTTAAGTTAATTTATTTTAAAATCAGTATTGATAAATGATTAAATAGGTACCTACGTATTTTGATAGACCTATTACATTTTATACTGGAAAATGTGTAATTGGAAATCCTAATTTATCAAATCAACTTAACCTTTAAATCACAATAGCTGGTACTGTTCTGTGTAACCGTTGCTCTATCAACCGCATCGTGAGTATATAGATTATAGACTAAATAGACACACTATTTTGTCTCTATTGCTTGAACAATTTTTTTTTTTTTTTGGTATTATTGTTCTCCTCAATTTGCATCTGTTCGGGTTCTGAATGGCTCGCCGCACGTTTTTAATCGGTTCATCGGTCGCAGAACGGTTTTTCCGAGCACAGCGGACTGTCGCGGTAACCGAATCGTTGCTGGTGAAAGCTGCCTACCTACGCGGTCTCATTATTTCGGCGATATATTTTGACGTTTCCGTTCTGTATTACAAAAGGTGTATACAAATTTATTTTTAGCGACGACCCTTTGTAAAGAAAAACCACATCTCATTAAAAATTAAAAAATATTTCATATGCATTATGACGTATCATATAGACACACTGTATTGAGAAACTTTTTGGTTTTTCTATTTTCACCGACACGTAATATCGTAACTCGCTAAGTACGAAAATACCTAACTAATTATGGTCACAATTAATAACATATTTTAATGCGACTTACCACTTGTAACGATCTGTGTTTCGTTTTAAACACTGCGATAGTTAATAATCGATCATGCAATATTTCTGGTGTAGTACATTATTTAGTTGGTAAACTATTTTTTATTATTACATTTTAATTATTATACATGGGCATTAATACGATATTAATACATGTTGGGTTAGTGAAACAAACATAGTTACCTACATACTAAAGGCGTAACATTTAATATTTCTGAACATTTTTCCTCAAACAATTTTCTATTTCTCGACATAACTTTAAACATTTTATTTCAAAATATCGTGTTTTTTAAGATGCAGCATTGGAACTAACCAATGTTTATGATAATTAGTCATAAATAATAAAATAATATGTACATATAGTATATTATATTATAGTTATTAAATAGAAATTTAAAAAAATTGATTAAACGGTATACTTGCAATATTATACGAAATGTGTGCAATACCGTAGGAAACAATTTGGACGTACTTAGAAATCCATTCATTTAAGTAGTTTTGCAGTTTGTTTATTTAAACTAGGAATACGTATAAAATGTTCTATTCGTAATAAATTGAGTGTGGGGACTTGGTTCTGCTCAATGCATTATAATACCTAGGTAGGTACGTTCAATTTGTTATTCTATTTTGAACACATCAAGGCCATAAATATTATATTCATTAAAAAATATATCTGGGGAAATAGTGTTAGGTATATAAATGTATACTAGGTAACATAATAATGCTATTATAAAAGTATCTGCTTTAAGCAGTAAGATTTAAAAAAATATACTATTTATATTATTGTACCTAATTAATATTAGTTTGTATCTTTAGTACACGTGTGTGCTATCTATATATGTACCTATTTTATTTTTAATCTAAAATATATCAATTAAATACTAAACAGATTGTACTAATTAATAGGATTGTATAAAAATTTAATTTTATTAAAAAAAAATATTTGTCTCATACACGTAATAGATGATTAGATACAATGGAAGTACTTATTATTGTGTGTTCAGTGTTTATATACATCCTTGAACTTGATAAACACTTCGTAGTATTATTTTAATTCGGTTTAAAACTGTTATTAGCAATTTTAAAGTATAAAATAAGTTGTTTACCTGCTATTTTGTACACTACTTTTTATAATTTTCTTTAATAATATTTTTTACTATTTTCTTTTGTTTTTCTACTAATTTAGTGCGTATTGTTAATACAATAATACAGGACTTTTCACTATCAATAACATTGTATATACTTGTAAAGAGAATTACTTTTAGTGGTTTAATATGTTATTTGGCTTCCCATAATATATAAGTTGGAATGTCTCGATCGTTATATATTGAATAACTCCGCTTGCGTAAAATAACGTTTTAAACCCTTTCATTTTCATTTATGTGTATTGGCAAATGTGTAAAGATATTTGGAATTATTTAAATTTGTAATTTCATTTGTTTATACGTTGTTCTGCGAAAATGTCTTAATTTCTACGGATTTAATAGGTTATCTTAGAGGTTTCAATTGGCTTAGGTATGGTTTTGGCATAGTACCTATTATTGTAATTGTTAATTATTATAATTAGATACGATTCGGCAGTCAAAATGTTCATCAAAGTATGTACATTGTAAAGATACATTGTACGTATATCAATAGACTTCAGTTCATCGATTTGTTAAGCCTCGGGGTGTGAAACTTTAAAAAAAAATATTTTGTGGGACTTATAAAATCAAATTGTCATAATAAAACAATGCAAAATCGAGTACCTATACACCTTACCTTTTTGTGTTTTGAATTATCATTTTCTTTTTTTATACTTATGAATGTAATGTTTTCGATTTTTATAAATAAAAAGTGTTTCCATAAAAATTACAAAACATAATATTCTGAAGTACATTATACTCGTAAAAATTGATAACGTGTTGATTATAATATGAATCTCGTGTTGAAAACATAATGTAGTACGGCAGTAGTAACCGTAGTCTGCGAATAGAAGAAGACGGCCATGGACGTAAATTATTGCGTCACATGTAAATTTTCTTAAATTACAGGAGACTAGTCTAGTAAACACTGTCAAGGTCATGAAAAATTTTAAAAGAATACATGCTTTTACGTTATTACAAGCAATCAATTAAATATTTTTACGAATTATGTATTTTTATTCGTCCTTAAAAAGAATGTGATGCGTTTCAAAAAGATTATACTACAATTATACTATTAAAATAGATAATTATAAATAGGTACCACGATGAATGTCGTTTTTTAGTATTAATTGAATAATTTAAAATACATTTGTTACATAATGAATAATCAGTATAGAATAAAAAAAAAATAGTAAATTAATAAGACGTATAGATGCTTCACAATATCTATTAAAATTGATCTTCCAAAATACTATGCTTTGTAACGATAAATTATAAATACCTATACTTACATTATATTAATATTATATTATAATTACTTGTATTGTCAGATACATAATATATTTGTGTGAAATTTTCGTTCATTTAAAAACTATATTGGATAATATAACATTATACTTAACAGCTGTTTAAATTTTTTTAGAAAGTAAAAATAAGCATTATGAGTAGTGAGTACCTTAAACGGCTTTAACTAGTGTTTATTATTATTTTCATTGCAATATAAGATAGTTATTTTTAGCTTTGTTATTAAATATTGTATGTTTGTTTATATAGGTAATGGGGAATGTCCGACATCAAATCGACGGTCTGTGATACTCGACCGGAGGTGGAGGTGGTGGAGGAGGGGGGCCTCCAGAAACAACTGCAAGACGTCTGCAAAAGCATTAAAGTCACTAACATGAGAGCAGCCACACCGTACCTATGTGCGCTGTACGTGGCCACGGCCGGCCACCAAGGAAACCTTCTTGGATCTGATGAACAGGAGATCGTCTTGCTCATTTACGTAGTCGTTGACATGACAACCAACACCGTGAGTGCTATGATAATATGAGTAGTTACAAGTTATAGTTTAAGTTAGACATAACTCGGTCGAGCGTATAGTAGTGAATTCGTGCTATTATTTCGGTGTATATTTTTAGAACGTCCTTGTCCACCTGTGTCCGTTGCGGTACCTACACATATAATTTCAGTGCCAACTTATACACGCGTTTTTCGTTTTTTTAACTCTCTCTTTGAATTTAATTTTCCTCAATATACGGCCTCAGTATAATTACCTTTATTACGTTTGCAATTCACCATATCATTAGGACGAAGACGATAATACGAGTAGATACACGCCATGTTGTATGTGTGTTTCGCTCATTTCATAACCGGTTCCGTTCCGATGGAAAAAAATCAGCTAGCACATCGTCGTCATAGCTCACCGAGAGAATTGTACTTTTGTGCTCGTTTTGGCGTGCGGAGTGCGCACAGGGGGGGTGTTCCCTAAGCAAAATTGCGGGTGGTCTACAAAGAAATAATATGATTTGAACGATCCGGGACATCGTATTGTTGTCGTACATTTCACACTATTATCATTTAAACAAAGTGTAGGATATGATAATATTGTACATCATAATATATTATTCTGCATGTACATACTATATTCATAGTTATACCTACCACTTTCGCCATTATAAAAAGAAGTATCTATTTTATCTCAACATTTCTTAATAACTTTAGGAAAATAATAATATACCCATTAACAAGTAACGTGCGCCTATCTATATGTTTATGACACGGGTTGACACTTTTTATTGAAAGGCTTTTGATTTTATGGCACAATAAATATTGTAAAAGAATGGTTTTATTACTATTACCTATCGCACAATACCTACTGTTTAACCCCTGTCCCTTTTCTATACAATAATAAACGCGAGTGTTGTTGTAGTTGCCTCTGAATTCTACCGCCCTCGTCCATGAATGACCTGTCATTTTCTCACGACTTCGGTGATCTACAGACCCTACATATTTTTTGAATGAGGTTTACCTACACAGTTTTTAGTACAATACCAAAACACGTGTGCGCCTTTATTGTATAAATAAATTTCACAAATTTATCAATTAAAATATTTTAAATATTGCCATGATACATTATTTAGTCGTATCCTTAACGAATTTCGTAATACCCATACCCGTGACAACAATAATATTTCAATTAAAAAATGTTCTCGACTACAAAATAATTGTTTTTAAATATCTATTATGATATGGACCGTATAGCCGTTTAAAGTGTATATTATGTTGCAATGGTTTTAAATAATGTGTAATATAAACCTAACCGGATTTATTTTTATCGCTGAGGGTATTAGGTCCAGCATTGGTGTAGACCAATTTCTATTTCTAAGTAGGAGGAGAAAATGAATATACCTAATAAGTATAGGTATATTGTGATTATCGTGGGACGATAAAATTAGATCATGATGGAGGGAAATGATGACCCCTTTATACAACCACCTTGCAGAGGACGCCACTGCGGCACTGCATCTACAACAGTAAATCATCAAGAATTAGATACTGGGTGCACGAATCTAATTATATATTATACATAGGTACGATGCACCCATCTATACTTTTTATTTAGGTTACCCATTTTAAATAATGAAAATACCCGAACACTCATCATTTGGTTTAAACGGCATATTAATATCAACATTTAGCTTATGAGATTTTTCACGAAAAATATCATTCAACAGTTTAGGTATAATATATATATATATTGTCTAAATACACTTTTTATATAAGACACGCGGTAACGTGGAAATTTAAAAAAATTGACTGCAAAGGCGAGTATTTTACCATATTTATTTAGATACCGGTTTCTTTGTCCATATACGGTGTTGTGCAACATACGTAGATATATGATTAGCCGGTGATTTAAGTTTATAAATATTCCGTCTGTAATTTAAAATGCAAGTGCACTTTAATAAATAAATATACATTAATTTGATTGGTCGATTCATATTATTAATATGTATAATATGTGTCAACATAAAAAAATATTTAAGTAACATTTGCACATTGTAATTTATAATAAGCAAAAGAAAATTAATATTGGTCAATATATGATTGCATTTTTATTTATAGATGTAATCTTGTTAGACTAATCATCAGGTGGGTAATTATAGAGATTGCTCGTTCAACATCACTGCGTCATAACGTCGTCGTCCCAGCAACCGAATTACATATGATTACAACTTTTGGCTGCAACTTTTCTCTTCACCTCCCCTGACCAGCAGTTCTTCGACACAAGCTGCGTTGTTATCTCAAAATCATATTCATTGTGTTTTAATTTAATAAGAGGATAGGTTCCATTTGTCTTTATATAGGTACGACTTGCGGGATGTACTCGAACGTATGCGGAAATTCTGTGTATCAATATTATATTTTAATATCGTTTTGAACGTTTTCCGATATCTGCACGGGACAACATGTGCCCAGTTAACAATGTATACCAACAAATTAAATTATATTTAAGAATTTTTCTCATAATAAAAAAGGAAACCTCGACGGAAGACCAGCAAAAGTTTGAATGATCAAAAACTAGAATAGTTAGAATAGACAATATTTGAAAAGGTTTTTAACAAATAACATTTCAAACTTTTTCGATTAACTACTATGTTAATTACAATTGAAAAAATTGTGATTCAAAAAAATGACGAATCAATGCAGTGTTAATTTTCAAACTTTTGCTATGCGTCCACCTCGACGCGTTGAATCTTTATAAGTGTCTTCAAGCGTGGGTAGTGTGTTGCAGCGGCAAACATGATATTATTTTTCGATTATTCGCGTAAAACGATCCATCTGAGTGCTTTCGTGTCATTGTCTACACAATAATATTATTATAATGACAAAAACGTGATATGATAGTGTTTCTATATTTTTTTGTTGTCTAATATACAGTAAAACGAAATTAATTAAAAACCACCGCGGCCGAATGTGATAACGCATAGAAATACGCGAGATTGTAAACGTTGAACCCATCTGGCGATTAAGTGCCGCCGGGCGTTTGTGGGCGAGGGACGCGTCAAAATGGCCGAACGCCTCCGCCCGTACCCTGCGCGCGCGTCCGATTTATCCCGCCCAACTTTTCCCGCGTGCACGAAAACGGAATACGGGTGGCGGCGGCGGCGGCGCCGGACGACGCGCATTTTTCGTATGCGCCGCCGAGCGGCGGCCGTGCTATATTTAATATTTTTCTCGTCGGTAAAAGAATAAATAACGTTCGGCGGGTTGCCGCGACGATGACGTCGTCGTGTCTTCGCGATGGGCATTAATATAGTTTTGATGTTAATATTAATTGTGATCCTTCGATTGCGTTCAATACGCCGCCCAGAAAATTAGGGCTTTCGCGAACAAGTCGAAATAATGAGATTTAGAGGTAAAAATACACATTATAATGATCGTCGTCGTCGTCACACACGCGGGATTCGGGTACGGTCGGGGGCAATTAGTCACGGCCGGGTATTTGCGTGTGTGTGTGTGTGTGCGTGCGCACCGGCTACAGTGTGAGCCTCACAGCGCGGCATAATGATGTGCGGTGCGAAGGGAGGGGAACGGGTTGAAAATACATAATAATAATAGTTTGTAATTTTACTTTTTTAACTACATACCTATTTTACGAAATATGATTATCATATGAATCAAAACATTCTAACTCGGAGCACACGCACATGCGGCGGACGTTATTATTATGACCGTATATATAAAAAAACACTCGAACTATAATGCTGGACTTAAATGATTTAATATAATATTATATCGTACTTTGTGTGCACATCCTGCAATGTTTGACTTTCTTGAGTAAATTGCATATTATTATGGTTCGATTATTATTATCAGACATCAGTCGAGTTTTACGGAAATTATTGTAAACATAATATAATATAGAAAATTCGATTTTTAAAAAATGTCATTTTATCTGTGTAATCAGCTGAACAGCCTTGTCCCTAACTGATGTATAGGTATTATATAACAGTGCGATTGAGATAATAATATTATTATGTGTGCACATTTATCTGGCCGTTTAAAACGTGTATATATATTGTACGAAAACGGTTGCAACAGCTGTTCTAAATGCCTCGTGTTTGATGCCGCTGCATGTACTATATTCTCACCTAACCTACCTTGTAATCGTAGTCGAGTTTGTGTCCTTCGTCGATTTTTATAACTGTATATAATACTACTACATCGCATCGACAGAATTATTACACCGGGCCAACCCTAATACTTTGTTAAAAAAAATTGTTAAATCAAATCAATACAGGTTATATTATGATGATTATATAATATTTGATAAAAACGTCAAATTAGAAATTTGTTATAGTTTCATGATTGGCTATTGATATTTGTAGATTGACCTCCTACCGATAATGTTTTATATTTACGTATCAGAGTTATTATTAAAAGTTATAGCTTATAATCAGTTAATATTTGTATTTTGCACTCAAATTAGGTATCACTGTTAGTGTTTTTTCCTTAGACGTAAAAATGGCAATTTATCTTTTAGTAGATATTCTTCTGTCTTTGATACCTATTATTCTGCTAGCTGATAAAGTTATGAATTTTCATTTTTTGTTACATGGTTTTTTTTATACATAGGGACTATAAGCGAAGAGTATACTTTATAATATATAGTAACTTGCGATGTCGCACAAAGAGTTCAAGGTTATGCTGTGGTAGCAGTTCAAGGCCTTCTCAAACACATATGTTTCATATATACGCATCATAAGCATATATTTTAATAATAATATATAATATTATGTACTTATATCTATATATAATATACTCGCATGTGTGCTATATAAGTTATAGGCGATGATGTTATATATTTTTGTGAATCGTAAACGGAAAATAAAACTTATTTTTGCGGGAATTTGTGTGAAATTTGACATCTGACGCGTTTTTACTTTTTTTTATTCAATACAAATGTAGGTAGGTACTTACGGAAAACGTTAAGAACATAATATATGATACATCTAGTTTTTTTTG